TGTTTGTTTCCTCTCCATCTATCTTCTCCTCTATCCATCTTCTATCCGCCTCCCACTCTCTCCCTATTTATTTCAGAACCCCCTTCCCCTCCCCCATTTCTGAAGAAGGGTCTAGGCCTGAAACGTCAGCCTTTCTGCTCCTCTGATGCTGCTTGGCCTGCTGCGTTCGTCCAGCTCTACACCTTTTTATGGCAGTTGGAATGTGCTCGGTCTGGGAAGTATACACTGTTGTGCTGTTTGAAATGTGGCAATCTTGCACTGTCCTCAAAAGGGCCAGGGCAACACTTCTTGCTGTGCAGTACCTGTCACCTTTTACCTGACAGACGGGCTGTTAGATCACTAAGAGTACAGCCAGATGATCACAGAATCCCTACAATGTGCAAGCAGGCCATTCGGCCCACACCGAACCTCCAAAGAACATCCCACCCAGACCTGTGCTATCCCTGTAGCCCTGCATTTCCCATGGTTAATCCACCTCGCCTGTGTACCTCTGGATAGTATGGGCAATTTAGCACGGCCGATCCACCCTAACCGCCACAGGTTTGGACTGTGGGAGGAAACCGGAGCAAACCCATGCAGACACAGGGAGAATGTGCAAACTCCACACAGACAGTCGCCCGAGAGTGGAATCAAACCCGGGTCCCTGGCGCTGTGAGGCAGCAGTGCTAACTGGGGCACCGTGCTGACCTCAGTAATCCAGAGGCCTAGGCCATTGCTGTAGGGAACATGGCAACTGCTGGAATTCAAACCAAATTAATAAATCTGGAATTGAAAGCTAGTCTCAATGCTGGTGACCACGAAACCATCAGTGATTGTTATCGAGCCCATCTAGTTGACTAACGCCCACCTACTCAATGGGCAATAAACGTTGGCCCAGCCAATGACGTCTACGTCCAGTGAACAAATTTGAACGAAGAAAATCTGCCGTCATTAGCCAGTCAGGCCTACACGTGACTCCAGGCCCTCAGCAGCTTGGTTGAGTCTCAACTGCCCCCCTGGAATGGCCCCAACAGGCCACTCCATTGGAGGGCAACTCACGATGGGTGGTAAATGCCAGCCGTGCCCACATCCCATGAAAACGTCAATGAGAAACAAAAGGGAGTGTTGAACATTACCAAGTGATGACTGTCCTGAAAGGCGAAGTGTAATCTGGTGATCCACTGGGCGCTCCCTTTGATGAGGACCTCACGTTCCTCGCGGAAATGTACGGTCTGGGGGGATCATTTGAGATAAACCGGTTAATGGTTCCACACAAAGCGCCAAATAAACACTAGACCCTTGATGTTACAGTGACATAATCTGATCACTGTGGACCTGAATATAACTCTAGCAGTGCACCCCCAATCCACCACAACCCACCCACAGCTGGTCCCTGACCGTTGGCAGCATACAGTGTACAGCGCGGAAGCAGGACCTTCGGCCCGACTCATCCATACCAGCCAGGTTTCCCAAACTAAATTGGACCTGGTTGCATGCGTTTGGCCCCATATCCCTCTGACCCTTCCCTATTCGCGTACCTGTCCAAATGTATTTTATAATGTTATCACTGTACCAGCCTCCACCACTTCCTCTGGCAGCTCATTCCATACACGCACCACCCTCTGTGTGAAAAAGTTGCCCCTTAGGTCTCTTTCACATCTTTCTCTTCTCTCCTTAAAGTTACGCCCTCTAGTTTTGAACTCGTCAACCCTGGGGAAAAGACTTTTGCTATTCACCTTATCTATGCCCCTTATGATTTTATAAACCTCTATAGGTTTTATAAACCTCATCCCTCAACCTCCTACCCCCAGTACAAGAAGTCCCGGCTTATCCACTTTTACTCTGTATCTAACCCTGAACTGTCCCTGTCCTGTGAGTGTTTGATGGGGACAGTGTAGAGGAAGCTTTACTCTGTATCTAACCCCGAACTGTCCCTGTCCTGGGAGTGTTTGATGGGGGACAGTGTAGAGGGAGCTTTACTCTGTATCTAACCCCGTGCTGTCCCTCTCCTGTGAGTG